GGTGGAAGGTATCATTCTGAAATCGCAGTAGAGATCATCTGACTTCATCGTCTGTTTTCACCTTTTTTGTCTCAGATTCTTGCAAAGGTGTATTCATATGATTTGTATCCCTTGAAGTTATCTTTCATAGGGAACTTGAATCGTGTCCATTGGTGGTTTGTACAAAGAGATATGCTTGAACGATTGACAGAAGGTCATCCTGATCGTCGTTTTCAAGCTTCATTCATCTTCTTTTGATCCCATAACCAATTCTAGAGCTCTTTTGTCATCAAATTTTCATCGTAAACCTCCCGGTGACCTCCAAGGCTCTCAAATCAATCTTGAATGCTTCTCAAATCATCCCGATTGCTTCTCAAGCGCCAGTGCCAAACTCAAAAATCCTGATTTTGACTCCAAATGCAACAAAACTCGAACCAACGCCTGATAAACATAATTTGGGCTAAAATTGAGACTTGCAAGACCTTAAAGCTAGGAAAACCATCAAAATCCAATCCCAACACGCATCAAATGCATGTCTAAATACAGACTTATCAAAAGGTATTTTATTAATCATCGTTTTTTATTATTATTGTTATGTTCATTAGTAACTTCTATTTTAACACAAATTACTTCTGCTGAAACTTGGATTAAAAGACCCGATTTTTTGTTGTTGCACAGGGTCCCCATATTATCGGTACCGGCCCTGGAACCAGACGTGATGCTGGATGATGGCACTGAGTCAGAAGATAAGAAGATGGTTTACCTGAGTGATATTGAAGACGACAATGAACAACGCAAATATGATTTGGCTTTTTGATGTCAAGTGGCCTTAAATTTTCGAACAAATCATAGTTATGACAATAAACATGAAGTAGTGGTAATGTTGTTGAAGATTGAACTTGTTTTTATTGTAATATTTTGGGCCAAACTAAGATGTATTCAAATTGTTGTTGGAAATTCCCAAGTAGTAGAAAAGTGTAGATGAAATACATTCTAGAACTTCTCTAGAAGATAAAGTCTCTAGAATTTTATTATCATTAATTGTGTATAATCATATAAAGTGTATTAATTATAGAAGAGTTTAAATACTTTTCTACCAGTAGAAATAAAACATTCTTTCAGCCAATTTGAATCAAACAAAGTTGAGTTGTTCTAATAAAAGAGTTTTTCCCCTTAGCTCAATCATATTATTTCTAATTAAGCCTGTCATTCTCCCAAATCTCCCTTTCAATTATTTCCAACATGATATCAGAGCTTATTCGGTCATCACCCTTCAAGTTCCTCCACTAAAAATGAGAATTGTGATAATTGGAACATTGACATGAAAGCGATACATGAAAGTTCCGAATTTGGAGAATTGTGATAATTGGAACATTGACATGAAGGAGAATTGTTTTTCACTGTTTTTCTAGTCCGAATTTGACAAAACTTCCTTCATGAAAAATGTAGATAATAAAGTCCTCTATCCACCACAACTTACGGAGTTGGATTTGACTCATCCAATCATGAGATATGAATAAAATGGTTGAAAGTGGCATTCTGAAATCGCAACAGAGATCATCTGATTTCATAGTCTGTTTTTCACCTTGCTCCTCTCCGATTCCCGCAATGGTGTCTTCATATGATTTGTAGCCCTTCAAGTTGGATTTCATATAAAACTTGAATCGTGTCCGTTGGATGCTTATACAAAGAGATATGCTTGAACGATTGACAGAAGGTCATCCTGATCATCGTTTCCCAGCTTCATTATCTTCTTTTGATCCCACAGTCAATTCTGGAGCTCTTTGTCATCAAATCTTCATCGTGAACGTCCTGCTGACCTTCAGAGCTCTCAATCCACTCTCGAATGCATCTCGAATCATCCCAATTGCTCCTCAAGCGTCGGTGCCGAACTCTAAATTCCTGATTTTGACTCCAAATGACACAAAACTCGAACCAACGCCGGTAAACATAACTTGAGCTAAAATTGAGACTTGTAACACCTTAAAGCTAGGAAAACCATCACAAGTCGATCCTAACACGCATCAAATGCGTGTCAAGATATGGACTTATCAAATTCCCCCACACTTAAGCCTTTGCTTGTCCTCAAGCAAACTCAACAACGGGACTTACGATAATCAACACACAACATTAAAATTATTAGCATGCATAAGTAGTTAAAGGGATATTGACATAACAAACAGACTAAACCAAGAAAATTCTTCCCTAAAAAACATCTTTGTACTCAAGCTAATATTAATGACAAAAGTACTCACAACATCCTCAAAGTAGTGACAACAAGCACTAATAAATTAGCTAATGATCAAAAGGGCTTGCGATGGTGGTGGTGATTGTTGAAGGATAAATAGTTCCTTTCTTTAGAGTTTAGAACATCCTAACAAAGACTCAATGAATTCAGGAATTTTAAGGCTATTCTTAGGATCAAGGAATTCAGTAGGCCACTAATTAGGAATTATCATGGAAACCTATGCAAAGAATAGACATGGTGTACAACTAAGCTAAACCGTCGCGACACATTGGTGCTTTGACGTACACTTGAAGTACACGAAGGACTTAAGCTAATTTTGCAATAGCCTCCAAATTCAATTAATTAGGTTCAGTTTTCCTTGTCATGTTGGCACGAGAACGCCGTTTCTTTCGAAAGATACCCAAGTCTCATCTTATTGTGCCAACACTTACGCTTTTTGACAGGGGCTCCCATTCTCTTTTTCGTAAGGTAAGAGGTCCAACTAATATTATTTTTTTCAATTTTTAGATTTTTACTAGGCATTACCTTATTCTAATCTCGGCCTCACCAAGGAATATTAGCAATAAAGGTTCATTTATTCAAAGTGAATCCATGCCTACAATGAAATCCTCGAAAGTATCAAATTCCTAAAAAGTGACTGCTCTTACCTCATTTGGGGCATATGAATAGTGCCAAAAGTGGCTCCTACCAAAAATTCCCTAAACTTAGCAAATTAATCCCCTAGTTTCCTAAACACCAAGACTATGTCAGAAATATTCACGGGTATGGTAACAGGTCATTTGGCTATGGAGCTCAATTTTTTGGGTAAAGAATAAACGGTCAGGCTCAAAGTGGGTTCTCCTAAAGGACTTATTCAGGTGGGATGGGTTATTTATGAAATGATTCGATGGGTGATTAATGTCTTCATCCTTTCAACAACTAGATTATTGTGCAAACAATTTAAGCCTAAATACTTCAAAGATGTTCTAAAAGCATAGTCAAAACACCAGCCAGCTCAAAAAGACACAATTTAAAGAAAAATTTTCAAAATTTTTGACACGACTTCTCTATGAATATGCAACTATCACCTGTGCATGCTAAATCTAATGATCACATGTAACAACTACTGCCCGAATGCTCAATTCACTCCCCCACACTTAAACTTTGGCATCGCCCTCAATGACAAAAAATACACTATGCACAAGGGGTAAAGAGGATAGGGTCACACATGCTCAACTCTACTCAAGTCAATTATTACAAACAGCCGATTATAAGAGTTGCAGAAACTTCCCTAAGGCGCTGGTCGGTGCAGAACTAAACTGAGTCAAGTTCCCCGACAACGACGCCAAAAACTGATGTGAGTTTTCTCGCACTTAAAATAGATTGTAATATAGTGATGTAAGTACAAGTATCGCCTCCACAGGGACGAACAAAAGGAAATCAAGAATTAATTAAATTCAACGATTAAAAATAAATAAAATAAATTCGTCATGCGAGATATGATTGGTTGCTGGAAAATCAAACTAATGCAAATGAGCGATAAAAATAAAAGATTGGTTTCTCTCTAATTAACGACGAAGGGAACAAGGACTGATTCCAGGGTAATAACTAGATTTCTGGCAGATCAGGCTTAATTACATGAAATTGAATTAATTGAGCCTAGCTAATCATTACTAAGTTCTTACCGTTCTCGCGGCGTAGAGTACAATAATTTAGGGGACCAGGCTGATCTCTTGCGATAGGATCCTAAATTATTGCCAAGACGAGCGAGCTTACGGCTCCTTAATCGCTACTAATCTTTTAGCGAATGATTAAGTGTGTGTGAATGTGTCCTAGAATAAACTAGATCTCTATTAATTTATTCTATAAGCAATTGTAATTCTAGCCGCGGTTCCAGGTTACAAAAGATATTAGTTAAATTATTCAAACACAAATCATACGGCATTCATGCAATTAATCCATCAAGAATTTAGCCATGCATCATGATTAACCCCTTCATCAATCCCAAATCCCTAATTAAATTACTCACAATTCATAATTGAAGAATCAACAAAATTGGGATGAATAGAATTAATTGTCATTAATTAAAAAGATGAACTTACAAATAATCTCAGGTTCTTGGAGTAAATAATGATAAAAATGCAAGTAAATTCGTCCCTAGGCCTCTCCGTATTGTTCGTAACCCTCAAAAAGGGGTATAGAGGCCTTATTTATAGAGAAAGGGGAAAAAATCTAAATTTTGGCTGAACTGGGACAATTTTTCACGTAACTGGTCTGTTTTTCACGTAACTGGGACAACCCTTCAGGCACTATCGTGCGTGGCCTGTTTTTCACCGTTTCTCTAGTCTGAATTTGACAAAACTTCCTTCATAAAAGGTGTAGATAATGAAATCCTCTATCTACCACAACTTGCAGAATTGGATTTGACTCATCCAATCAAGAGATATGAATAAAATGGTGGAAGGTGGCATTATGAAATTGCAACAAAGATCATCTGACTTCATCATCTGTTTTCACCTTGCTCCCCTTAGATTCTTGATAAGTTAGAATTTGTGATTAATTTTTGTAGCAATCCTATGCTTATTATTTGCCTAATTGAGAGGTTTGAATCTTACTTTTATCTTAAAATTGATTTTTACTGGTGTGAAATTTAACTGAAGCAATTGGGCTTATTTGGGCTCATTGAAGAGATTTTATTTCCAAATTCAAGAATGGGCCAGTTTAAATTTGGAAGCTTTCACTTGTGAGAGTGAACTAGGCTGGAGAACAAAATTAAAGGAGGGTTAACTCTTTTATTTTGACTGATGAGGAAAATTGGAAAAAGAGAAAACAACCCAGCAAAGTCCAAGAACAACGCTAACAAAAATGAAGAAAAAGAGTCCATGGAGCAGAAGGAAAGGAGGTAGACTTTGGAATTCCTTTCATCAATTCTAAACGGCTCTTCAAATTGCGGCGAAGAGGACTCCTACTCTGGAACGGCAGCGAAATCTCAGGAGTTAGAGCGCTCAAAACGACTCTAATCCTTCGATATAAAAAGGCAGCATCAAGGGGTTTTAGGGGGCGAATTATGGCCCCGAGGAGCGAAGAGCCAAGTACCGAAGGAGGTGGAAGGCTTAGACCTGCGTCTGGAAGAAAGCGGAGCTCCGAATTTCAGCCTCACCAGCAGTTTTAGGAGGACACACAGTTCATCAACCTGGCAGCAGTTCTGGCTTTCATAGCAATTTAATCCTCAAATTTTTCTTCTAAAAAGAACTCTGGTTTGATTAATTCTTTTTGTTCTGAAATTTAAGTGTACTTTGTTTGATCATACGTGCCATAGTTCAGTAAAGTGGTTACTCATAGGGGCGGGCAAGAATCCCGGTCCCGTTGTCCCATTCCGGTATATCCCGAAACCGTACCGGTGTTATCCCGTTCCGTTTGGGTCTCATTGATTTTGTCCCGCACCGGTCCCGTACCGGTTTCAAATGGGACGGGACCGGGACATTGAAAGGTTATCCCGAACCGTCCCGTTGTCCCGTTTGTAATAACTATATAGATTTTGTAACATGTGACTAGTTTGTAATGTCAACTCAAAAAATAAATGATAACATGTTTTTAGTTTTTAAGCCCAATTTTTGAATTAAAAATAATACCTAGAATAAATATTTACTAACATAGGTTTTTATCTCACTTTATATATCTACATATGAGTATCTCACAACTAGAACAAATAATTTTGAATAAAATAATTCATTTTTGCTTTGTTTTAAATTTAAATTTCAAAATTTGCTAAACCTAACTAAAATCTAATACGTAGTAGCTTTTAGCTTGTGATGAACATCAATTAACTTTTACAATGTTAATATTTTGGTGCATGATACTTATTGATCTTATTGATGGCCTATAAAGGAGGAGAAGTTGAATCCAAAATGACTTGGTACTCAGACGTGTGAGATAACAACCACATGTGCGGGAAGAAAGACATGTTCGTCAAACTTGATTGATCGATAAGTGGAAATATTTATTTTGGAGATGAATAAAAATTTCCACTAATAGGAAATTGGATATGGCCACAATATGAATATGTTTCAACCTTTTAAGTTCATGCTTTATAATCCAACGTTAATTGCTCAAATAAACCGAACAATATAATCATACATTGTACACCGTAGTTAGTCACATTAAAATATAAAGGAAAGACCATAATAGGTTGGTTGAGAACATACATCATACACTTAGAGTGCGTAAAGTTTCATCCCTAACATTGGCTATGGAAAATTAGCTACAACAATTGAAATACTTGAATTGAAGTAAATATGAAAGAAAATGATATCACAACTCCAAAGCTACGGTGCACAAATGCTTCCCAAAATAAAGAACTTCTCTTAAGACTTAGGGGTGCTCTTGAGATGAAAATATAGGAGTAAAGTGTAGAAAATGTGACGATCCTTGATGAAGAGGCTTCAAAACTTTTACATAAGAGGTTTTCAACGGCTATTTTTGGACAGGAAAACAAGCTCCTTAATAGGTTTTGGCGTTTTCTCCCGAAAGATCATGAAGACTGTTACCTGTTTTAATCATATATCTGGCCAAATTCAGATGGCTTTTGTGAAAGCCGGACAACTTTATCTCTTAAAATATCAGGGGTATGCGTTCTAGAGATCAGAAACCAGACGATTTTCTCCAAAAGCCAGGCAACGGTTTTGAATTAAATTACAAACTAAACTATGTCCTTGGAATCCGGGTGGGTTTGGGAGACGGCGAGCGGCTTTCGGGACCTTTGATTTTGGATGCCTTCCTTTTGTCTTGCATGGCTTTTAGACGCCTGACAGGCAAAAGCCAGATGGATTTCGTGGAAGTCAGGCGGTTTTGACTTCGTATTTGCAGTTTGATTGACTTCAGTTGTTCTTCAGGATGAGTTTGGTTGACCTTTTCTTGTCAGGATTGTTCGTGTGTTCTCTCATCCTTCTATTTGATATGATCCTCATTAAAAGTATTTTCTGACAAAACAAGGCAAATGTGTTATTTTTATACCCTTAAGTGTAGAAGTATTTGAATATGATTGTAAAAAACATCTTAAGAAAACGCTTATCATCGGAAAACGTGAGTTTATTTTCTAAAACAAAATTCCAACATTTTTGGGGCCTTTAAGGAATTCAAAGCACTTGTAAATAAAAGCAGATTTAAATTAAAGTTCATGAGATCGGATCATGGGGGGTGGGGGGTTCACTTCAAAGGAGTTTGAATGTTTATGTGAAGAAAATGGTATTTATCGCCCCTTAATGATTCCATATACCCTATTTAATGATTTTTTGAACATAACTGTGCAGTTAAACAGCTCAGTACATTTTGGAAAATCATTTGTCTGCCTTCCCGATTAAAATTTTAGCTGAAATTTGGTATGAGTAAACTAGACTTAATGGAGAAGATGCTAAAAAAATTTCATCAAAAAATTCCACCGGGAACCTCCCCAATTGGCGATGGCCGGGGTGAACCTCCTATATAAGGGGTTAATTGAACACTTTAAGTTAGTTCAAGGGCCTATTTGACCCTTTAGCCTTAACCCCTACAATTTTTACATGGTTGCAGCTAATTTTAACAAGAACGGATCCCAGGCCTAGGTTTCGGTTATCCATTTGCGTCTGGATTGGCGATCACATTCGTTCATATCTACAAAAGATGACAATGTTACAGAGCTCGCGCTGTATACTCTCGCCAACGTCTCAGTCTTTATTCGCCGCCGATTCGCCGTACACTTCATTTGTGCCGTCCCAGAGAACAATTATCTCTAGACGCAGCCCTAGGTTCTCTAAGCTCAATGTTCTCTCCAAGCAGCACCAACAGTCGTCGATTGATAGTGCCAGTCATAACAAGGACGGATCACCCTCGGCGGAGCAGTTTTTGCAGAACAACTCGATTGCGGACTTCATGAGGTTCAAGCACCACTCCAATGTTGGTGAACGGCTGGCCGAGCTACAAACTGCCGTTGTTAGTTACAGGAAGAGGTTCCCTTGGTCAATCCTTCAGCCCTTTCTGAGGGTAATGAATTTCCTAGCTGAAAACCTGTTTATTTGTTAATGGTTTGAAAGATGCATATTTGTTTCACCACAAAAACATGGCTTCCTGCTGACGATAGAGGTTACTTATTTTGTTCAGGTTGATTTGGTGTCGACAATACATATTGCTGATAAAGAGTACGTTTTTCTCAATTCAATGGAAAAATATCTGGCAGTGATGCCTAATTTTGCTTCATTTACTGAACCTTTGTATAATCCATGATGTTTGTTCAGCGGTCTATGGGGTAGACCTATCCAGAGAGACTTAGTGCGGCCTTGTTAGTTATCGTTGATCTCTAAATTCCTTTGTTAGTTATTGAAATTAGAGTAGTTTAGAGTTTGATGAGTGCAAGTTAAAGAGAATGGGGCCTAGATGGTTGTCCTACTCTCTTAGTACATGCTCTCTTTGCCTGAACAATGTGATATGCTTTCTGATTTTTTGAAGATTTGGTAGATTTGGTCTGATCTTTATGGTTTGGTATGTATGATTCTCCTCTAATTAATCTAAATTAATTAAAATAAGTTAACACAAGAATAAGTAATTAGGCGAAAAGAAAAACCCCTTTATCCTGTTCTGAAGAGTGTTCTTTACCGAACATTCCTTAAAAATTTGTCTAAATTAATTAGGGTGTGTGTGTGGAGTATTTCACTATGCACTAAAAGTTCTGAATAAGTTTCCATTCCATCTTTTGTCTTGGTTATTGAGCTCTTATTCATTTTATATTTTTCTATATATTGGTTTCTGGTAATAAATTTGTTGTTTGCCATCAACTACGGACAACAGGAATTGTATTATTGTAAAATCATTACTACATCTGACTCGACAATTTGTTAAATTTGCAGGTACTTTGCAACCCTACAGAGGGAACTTGAAACATATGATTGTGTTCTTTATGAAATGGTTGCAAGTAGGGAAAGTTTAGAGAGTAAAGGAAATCTTGTTGTAAAAAAGAATCTTAAAAGTCTAAAAAATGGGGGCTTCAATTTTCTTGGTTTCATTCAGAGACAGATAGCTAGAGTGCTTACAGTTGATTTTCAATTAGATTGTCTTGACTACCACTCTAAGAACTGGTACCATGCGGATCTTGACTTTGAAACCTTTAAGTTACTTCAGGTAGTCTCTCTATTCCATATGGCACTTTTAAAATATATTTCATTCCTAGTTCTAGCTGCTTACTTCCCCAGGGTCCATGTGCCTAATTTACAGCCCTTTGAATATGGAAGCCTCTTTCATTTCAATTCCTCATGCCCCCATCCTTGTATTCAATCCCCTTTTTCTGAATGTAAGTGTATGTGAACTGATTTAATTAAATGATTATATGGTATCTGGAGAACCTTTCACTCTTTGATATCTCTTGCATATAAGAGAAACATGCTATCCAAGCATTGTATTTCACCCTAACAGTAATGTTCTACTCCGTATATAACAATATAAATTACGGAGTATAAAGCTTATGTACTTCATCTGCCCCATTTTATAAGTTTAACCTTCCTGATTAGTTCGTAACCCAATTATTTTTAGTTTTCTTTTTCAAACACAACTACATTTGAACTTACCTTTCTCTGATTTGACATTTTGAACTATTTGCACAACTTTTTATAAAAGTCGTTCACCCTTTAGAGGGTAGAATTGAAACTAATCATTTTTTTCCTTTAGTATGTGTGCATAAAACAATCGGGGTTTATATTTGGGACACAGGGATTAATTTGCATCATTAATGGCTTGATGCTAGCGTTTGCCAACAATTTGCTTTCTATTTCAGCAACAGAAAGGTGAGAGCTTCTTCACATTTGCTAGGGATATGACAATTAAATCTACACAAGCTGTTGTGCAATCTGCATCAATACCAGATGATCTTGGACTATGGAAATCCAAACTTCTGTGGGCTTCACGTGTGCTACCAATGCCTCTTATTGGGTTTGTCATCATTTCAGGAGTCTGTTTAGATATGGCGAGCCAGGCATCACAGTATCCAGAGCTAGAAGCACTGTCTAGGCTTGATTTTGGTGCTGCAATGAAACTGTTTCTGGCAAAGCAACTTACATCTGAGTAAGTGTACTCAGTATTCATGTAAATATTTTTCATTTGATCAAAGAATAGGCACATTAGTGCATTATGGTGTTAAGAGAACTTTGTAATGCCCTGGCATGCCCCCCATGCCCCATCAGTGGTTTAAATATGGACTTGGACTGGCCCGATGGACTGCGTACTAGAGTTACTTGTGACTTGGTCAAGCTAGATAGTAGATCGGTCATGCTGTTAAACCACTTGAAAGTGAAACCACACTACTGGGTCATTAATTGAACTGTTGAACCGTGCCTCTGTTGACCTGGCCCATTGTTTTTTCTTTTTCAAGAAAACCAGTTACGTCTGAAGAGTTGATGAAAGGATAAAAAACACAACCTCATCTCATATTTATGTGCTCAATCCATGCATCTATTATGACAACCATGTATATTCCAACTTTCTTAAACACATGGCTTTTATGTATCCACACTCATCACTTGTACACTCAAACCACTACACTATGAAGTCAACCTTGTACACTTCATACTTATGATAAAGATATACGGAGTACTATCTATGAATTATTTTAATCTAATACGATAGTATTCAATAAAATTAAATGGGCGATTCTAAATTATTTTATTTACATTATCAGTCACATATGTTTAACTCGATACATAGAGAATATGAATTATACTTGTGAAGCAATATACTTCGTATACAAGTAATCAAGTATAGAGTCCAAATATAACTATATATGTGTGTATGCGTACGTGAATTATACTTGTAAAGCAATATACTTTGTATACAAGTAATCAAGTATAGAGTCCAAATATAACTATATATGTGTGTATGCGTACGTGCACGTGTACATGCGTGCTTACATGTGCGTATGTTCCCATAACTATATACTTTAGATTTATTTGTATATTGACTTGGTCGAGCAGTGCAATTAGTGATTTACCAGTTCGGCTATTGATCTTCTGACCCAGCCACCGGTTTGACAACCAATTCAAGTTTTGAAATACCGTACCAGCAGCTTAATTGGTCGATCAGACTAAGTTAAAAGTGTGTGTTTGCTTAGTTGACTTTGGAATGGGTACTAGTGTACAAGCAGTTGAAACTTGCGGGATGCATAAGGCAGTGAGGGTTATCTGCATCAATGAAATCTAAAAATGGCATGCAAACTGGAATGGGGAAATTCTAAAAATTGTTTTTTTTCTGATACTTGGGTTTAGCTTGTGAATGAGGGGCAAAGGGCAGCCTGTTGCACAATTGCGTCCACACAAGGTGAGGGTTTGGGGAAGGGTTCCACCTCTCAGTCACATGACAACACCATGACCGGTGGCATAGGCTGATCTTTTTGGGTTTAGCTTGTGAATAAAGGAGGAAAAACCAACTGTGATTATAACCTTTTAAAACATTACATATAAGATTTCCTTGTCTTGATGTATTGAATTTAAAGCCTTTTAAAAAAAATTCTCACATTTTCTTTTCTTATAAATCCCTCGCAATTTTCCCCTGTTTTGTTTCCATGGCATTTTCCCAGTTCCAATTAGACCCCAATGATAAGGCAACGGAATTTCGGAGCCCTCATGTATGGCGTAAATGTTGTCTAATTATAAGTAAAATGCCATGGCTTTCCACATGCAGGTTCACACAGGCGACAGCTGATGTGGAGGCGGAATCCGTCGTAATAGGTGAGAGAAACAAGGCAGCGACAGAAGCACTTAGAAGGGCAATCAACAATGGCCACAGCAAGATAGCCATCCTTTACGGGGGTGGACACATGCCAGATTTGGGGCGTCGACTACGTGCTGAGTTTGACCTTTCTCCCTCTCAGGTACAGTGGATAACTGCTTGGTCTATTGGGGCGAGCAACACAACAAGCAGCAGCTCTTTCCCGTTTCTGAAAACAGTGGCTCAAGTGTTGCGATGGCCGATAAATAGATATCAAACACTCGCACTGCTAATATTTTCATCAGTCCTTGCGCTGGATCTGTTGCTATGGGAGCTGTTATTTGGCACCACAGCTAATTGGATTACTCGTTTTGCTTTTGACTCTTTCCAATAAGTTCACAATTCGTGATGATATTGGTTTGTGTATAGTACATAAGTTGTAGAAATGTGCATATGTTTTGAGTTGGAAAATGATAGGATATTAGGAGCAGGACAAGGAAAGGGTCCAGGAAAATGTGCCCTTCAGTTCTTCGTTTGTTATTTGCTGAATTGTTAATTCCTGTGGTTCTCTGGATAAGTGGATGAGATCTCTGTGTTCTAAAAAAGTGTTTAGCAGGCATCCAACGCTTGTTAGAACATTGTTTCCTGCATGATACACTTTTTGTATAGGTATGTGGATGTACTTGTTCATTGTCTGGCCAAAATTTTGTTCAAACCTGCTTAATGCACCAAACGATGGATCTCTACCATTTATATATCGGCACGATCCGATCTATTCTTTTATTTCCATCATTTGCAAGTCAAAAATTCATTATTTTTTGGTTTGAGAATATGATGAAATAAAGCAAAATGATTCACTAAATTGTCTGCGCTTCTTTTTTATGAAGTAGCAGTTAGTCCATGCATTTTGGACGCGATTTTCACTATGGGACATTTGAAAACAGTTTCTCTGTGCTTTAGCTCAGGGGTAAGACTAGGGGTGGACTCGGGCCGGTTCGGGCCTGGGTCCGGCCGGTTCGCGGTTCTGTTTTGTTGGGCCCGAGCCCGAACCAGTAGCCACCGGTTCCGGGTCGGGCCACCCGTTTTTTTTTTTGGCTTCTCCTATTTAACCCCAACCCACCCTCCTCACCCCCAAACCACCCCAAACCACCGCAAATGGACCAAAATACCTAGTCCAACTGAAAAACTTAAAAAAAAATTCAAAATAAATAAATAAATTAAATTCGGCCCGGCCCGGGCCCGAACCGGCCGGGCCGGTTCACCAAATGGAGGGCCCGAGCCCGGAACCGAACCCCACCGGGCCGGGTCGACCCGAACCGCCCCTGGGCCGGGCCGCCGGTTCGGTCCGGTTCAAACAGTGACCGGGCCGGGCCGATTCCGTGTCGGGCCGCCCGGCCCGAGTCCAGCACTAAGCAAGACCGTAAGACTGAATACATCCGACCCCCTTTACCCCACCGTAGGTGGGAGCCTTTGCGGCACTGGGGTAAATGAAAATGAAATAACGATCCGTCTATTCTTTTCATGAACATTGGAACTACAGGTATACCTGTAGGTGGTATTACAAGTAGTATTAATATTGAAAAGTTATCTTTGTAGTTATCACTAGTGGCGTTGATCACTTATCAAGGAACGTGTATGAGCAATTTCTTGAAAAGTTTAAAAATTAGTCACATTTAGACTTTAGAGTATTGTTTTGCTAATATTGCAGGAGAACCCCAGTAGTTTGAACCAGGGGTGGATTCAGGTCGGGCCACCCGGCCCGGCCCGGCCCGCTACTATGCGGGACCAGGACCGGCCCGGTTCTCAAGTCCGGGTTGGGCCTGGGCCCGGGGCGGGGGAGGGTCCGGGCTCGGGTCTTACATTTGGCAAACCGGCCTGGTCGGGCCGGGCCCTGGTCCGGGCCAAATTGTTATTTTTTTTCATTTTTGGGGTTCCACTCGGGTTTGGCTTGATGGTTAGGAGGGGTTTGGGGGGTGGGGGGTGGGGGTTAGGAAAGCCAAAATAACCAAACCGGAGGCCCGGCCCGGCCCGGACTCGGACCGGATCCAGTGGCTATCCGGGCCGGTCCCAGGTTCACCAATTCTGAACCGCCGTCCCGCCTGGGCCTAGGCCCGACCCGGACCCAGCCCGGTCCGAATCCACCCCTAGTTTGAACGGTGAAGGTGAAAGTAGTTTTAAATTTCATACTTGTATTTGTGTAGTAGTTTTAAACTAATTCTTAACATTTTCTCGTTTTATGTATGATAAAAATATACTCAGTAAACCCATAATACTGAGTATATAATTTTAGAAAAAAAAGTAAAATTGATTACAAGAATAATCAATCAAAATCGTATTTTGATACGTACTATTCCCGTCCCTTAAACACTTTTACAATGTATATTTATTTTTTAAATAAATGATAAACTTTGGCCAACACTTTTGATTAGTATAATTTTAAAAAGTCATAAATTTTATACTTTTATGAGTGTATTTTCAACAGAGAACATTTTTATATGATTTTTGTTTTATAAATCATTTTCTACATTAATATATCGTTTAGGCATGGACCAAACTGGGTCCGGGTCCCGGTCGGGCCTTTTGTGTTAAGGGGAAGGCCCGAGGCCGGCCCGGGTTGCCACCGGGTCCGGTTCGGGCCGGGCTAGGCCTCGTTCCGGGTCTCGAGCCTGGTTGTAAATTTTTTCTTTCCTAAGTACCCCCCTGACCCCCCCCCCCCCAACCCTCCCCCCCAACCCCCCCCCCCCCCCCAAAAAAAACATCAAGCAGATCCAGGAAGCCCAAAAAAACTGAAAAAACAAAAAAAAAACCATTTTTGTGCCCGAACCGGGCCGGGTCCCCATTTCAGCAGCCCGAGCCCGCCCCGCTTTACCTACCAAACTGGGCCAAGAACCGGTTTTGGACCTGAGGCACCGGGCCGGGCCAGTCCCGCACAGTAGCGGGCCGGGTCGGGTGGCCCGAACCGGGCCCATACCTAATATCGTTGATCAAAGTTTATTTGATTGACAAAGAAATGAAAAATGGAAAAGTTTTAAGAGATGAGTGAGTAAACTATATTGCGTATTACTTGTAGGCTTGTAGCATTAGTTGTGATTGATTAATGGCTATTCATTTATCAATTAAAATAGGTAGTTGATGTCAATTAATATTATTTTGGTACAAGTTTGTTTTTCTTACCTAATCTTTTCTATAATGTTTTATGAAGTATAAATAACTTAAATTTGTAGTGCATCTAAATATAAAGTTGCGAAGATCTTTGCTCTGGGCACGTATAAACACCTAGCCTAAAACGACACTTAAAAGAGATTTCGTTGGTAGAGAATCGCCCTCTAAGCTCTTATGTCGTAAGCAGGGCCGGTCCTGGGGCATGGGCAGGAGGGGCATGCGCCCAGGGCCCTTTGCTCCATTAGGGCCCATAAATTTCTCAAATATATATACATGTGTGTGTGCATCGATATTTTAATTATATATACATCCTAAGTCTATAAAAATTTAAAAAAAAAATCAAACTGATATTTTTTTAGATATTCCCAATTCCTTATTCATTATCTACACGGTACAAGTCTGTAATTTTGAAACATCCACGTTAGAATTCATTGGGAACATATTTCACCATTTTTTGAATCATTACGGATTATTACATTAATTTTGATCTTTTAATTTGGTGTACTTCTCTTATGTACATCCCGAATTCATTGATATATTTCACAAATTTTCTCTGATTCTCTCATTTAATGAAAGATTGAACTATAGTGTCCATAATTTAGAAACTTAGAATTTGTTTTTGTCTAGTGAAAATGTGACTTAAAATTTGAAAAAGTTAGAAATAATTATTATATATGTGACTAAAATTAAGATTATTTACAAAAATGTAACTAGTGACTAAAGTAGTAATGAAATCATAGTAACTTATGTTCAATTTTTAAACCTAAGTTACTATGAGAATACATTATAGTAACAATTTGTCATATTTGTGTAAGTGAGTTTTATTTTAGTAATTTTTTTTTTGAATTACTAAATTTGGGTAATTTAGTAAAGTGGTTGAAAAGTAAAAGTTGTGGTTGAGATTTGGCACGATTATTAATAAAGTGGTTGAAAAGTAAAAGTTGTGGTTGAGATTTGAGTAGAATAAAGTGAATTAACAAGAACCACATATTTCATGCCAAAAAAGGAAACAAGACATTCATTTTGGGACAACCCAAAAAGGAAAGTAGGACAACCAAAATGGGACGGAGGGAGTATCAAATACTCTCTATGTAATTTGTCTAACCATCTACTTTGTTAGTTTTTTTATGATGCTTTGTTAGTATATGGATCGGATGGTAAAATTGTATAATTTTAAATTATAGATTTTTATAGTAAAAAGAACATTATAAACATTTTCGCGCTATCCCTGAGGCCTAGTCTACTTGTACTGCCCCGGGCCCATAAAATGTCAGGACCGGCCCTGGTCGTAAGCCAGTGGATGAAGTGATTCTGTTTCCTTCTACTCAAACGGAAAATTGTCAACCCTTTCACTAAATGTGATTATCTTGTTGTAAGCATGTAAGTGAGTCTCTTCGTTTTGGATATATGTAAAGTTCTATAAACTAATTGTGAGCCCATTTAGTAAAAAATAGAGCATGCTAGCGTGCCGATTAAGGAGTATGCTAGCGTGCTCATTAAGGAACACACTGACGGAATGAATGATTGAGATTCTCTAAATATTTTAAGTGATTGAATTTCAACCTTTCATCACACCAACGTGCCCTTAGTGAACAAGCTATTGTGCTGGTGTGTTCCATATAACTACTCCAGTTAGTAACATCAAAGTTGATTGAATCGATCGATTCCACTGAAATTAATGAAGGCCCGACTAAAGTAGCTGAACATGCTGAAGAGCCTGAAGTATGAGAAAGAAATTATTTAGAATAATACAATAAAGAAAAAATGATATGAAACAATAGTCAAAATGATCTCATATAGTAATTTAAGTCGATTCAATCAGGAAATTTCAACCTTATTTATTTCCATTATTACACCATTTTGCTTGAAGTAAAAAATTATGTATTTAATGAAAAAGATGGTTGATAAAATTGATTTCCCTCAACGCAATCCTTCAGGCAACACCTGGGCACCTGGTAATTCTAATGATGGTTGATAAAATTGATACTCCCTCCGTCCAGTGTTCTAAAAGGCTTTATTAGGCAGCGCTAAGGCGCGCCTATGCCCAAGGCGCAGAGCAAACGCCCCGCTCACCAATAAGGCGTGCTCCAAGGCGTATTAAGCCATTAAAGTGCCGAAAACTTTTTAACTAGATGCTTGTTAGACCATGTTTAATCCACGTGCACCACGTAGCAGCTTAACTCTTTGGCAAAATTCAGCTCAGATGAATGACTTTAATATATAGGCAGGCAAGAGGAAGAATTGTCTCCACTTTTCCGGTGTGGGAACATTAGGATAGTACTAGGTTGTACGCATCTGCTATTCTGCTCGCTTACATTCTATATTCTTTGTTTTGATTTTACACCTACGTCTATTATATTGCTAATATAACTATAATATTTAGTTCAAATCACTTTATTCTTGAATAATAATTATTAAAATATTATTGTTATATTACTATTTTTACTCTTAGCTTGTTTGTTAAAATAATATGATCATTATTGTTATTAGTATTATCACTATGAATGTCATATTTTATAATTTCTTACTTGTATAGTAGATGCATATATTATGA